TGCAAGAGTAGTTCAATAAAGCTATTAGTACCTTGCATCTAGGGAGCTGCGCTACAGACTTTTACTGTTGACTTAAAAAAGCAGTATGATCTGCTTCACGTGCCTTCAGAAGGCTAGAGAGCAGGATGAAGAACATCCCTGCAGTGTAAGACAGTATTCTTGCTACAACTCCTCCCATGCAAGGGCCAGTCAATTCAGAACACCAGAATACCAGCTGATTGCTACAATGCTATGTAGCAGCCCAAAGATTTTTTTCCAGTGGAAGGAAATGCTTTGCAGTTAAAACTCATATTGTCCACGGTAAAACAGATCAGTACATACTTCTCAATCCAGGCAAACTTCTCTCTGGTAGCTTTATAGAGTAACAGTTTCAGATTAGAAATAAGATGAATACCGGGGAAGCTTCTAGAAAAGAATATTCTGGGACAGAAACACAGTCAACCAGTGTTTGAATAGAAAGGTAAAGGAGAAAGAAGATATAAAATTTCTGTAAGTAGAAAAGCAGAGATATTCACTACATGGTATTCTGTGGTAACAGAGATCCATTAGTAAAGCAATCAAGAAAACAGCAGCTAAACTACTTCAGATTTATTTGAAAGAAGGATGGTCCAGATGGATCTAGAAGCAACATGCACATTTAAGAAAAGAACTAGATGTCACCAAAATCTGTAACAGCAAAGAAAGAAGAAACCGTATTATTCAGTCTTTTGAAATACTGCACCCCAATCATCTTTCCCCCAAGTATAACAACTGTAAACTTTTCCCTGCTCCAACAAAAGAGATTAAGATTAGTTACAACTCAAGAGTAACACCCAAGTCTTAAGAGCAAAAGCTGAAGTAATTGCTTTTGTGGCCGTTGAACACCAAGCGATTTGTGTTTACATTCCATCAGCTGAACTCTGCAAACAGCCAAATGAATAATTTGTCCAGTAACTTTTCTTTGGCATCTCCAACTGCCAGCACTCCCTCTTTTTGCCAGGTTTGTTCCCACTCTCAAGACACTTGCCTTCACGCCTTCAGGAAAAGCAGAGCTGAAAACCCGTTCTTCCCCTACCTCAAGAAGCAAGTTACTTCTATATTAACCAACTGTTTCAGCTGTTTCTGTTTTGCTTTTTCTTCCTCTTCCCCTCAACCCTGCCCAATTATTCCAGGTACAGCAATGCACAGATGTGGTTATATCCATTCTAACTCTTATGCCTGCTCGTATCACCTCCTTGCTTCCTCTTCCTAAGGATTTCCTGTGCTCCCACCCAGATCACATCTCACAATTTTGACTGCTGAAAGTACTTTTCTTCAGAACTACAAAGCTGTTTTAACATCACTGATGTATCCATCTCACTTTGTCTTCTAAAATATCAACAAAATAACACCCTGAACACTTACTATGACTGATATTCAGGTGCCTAATAAAAACTATATAATCAGTTGCCTTAAAGAGCAGCAAATTCTACAGTTGAAGACAGACATTCAAAGCAGAAATGGCAAAATAGCTGGTTATGGAAAACAGAAGTAAATAAAAAGGTAGGGAAAAAAGGTAGAAGAACAGGATGGTTTCTAGAAGCACTTGATTTGCCTCAGAGATGCAAGAAACTGGAGGCATAAATGCCAAGAGGCCTCAAGAAAACCCCACACCACTAAGCAGGAAGAAAGGGGAATTGACTGTTTCTTGACTAATAAAGATTTCTGTCATTTAACCATAGATGGGGTAAAAAGCATCAGGTCATCTCCATTTGTAGAAGTGTACATAGTATCAGATGTCAGGATTATGAGAGATATACTTAATAACAAGCTGTTACCTGAAGTGAGACAGAAGTGGTTTACCATATGAGGAAGAGACACCACTATTAAACCACAGCTTGAACTGGCTGAAGCCACAGAAGTGACCAGAAATTTTTTTTTTAAAAAAAAAAAGTATTGAAAATTAGTATTTCTAATATTTCAATGTAAAGGGACTGTTCAACTCTCACAATTACTGGTTTTGTCAACAGTATTTACTGTGAAACAGACAGCTGGAAACAACAGTTTACAAAGCAGTGACAACAGCAGGAAGCAGGAGTCCTAGAAAGGAGGACAGATCTGTCTTAATAGCAAAAAAGCATAGAAAAAAGAACAGATGCTGCATGGGACAAGACAAAGTTGAAAACCCTAGGTACTTCCACTGAGTACTATATGACAGGACATTCTAGCACAGCATTCAGTGAGATTTAAAATAGTAGATAATAAATTTGTGAAACTAAATGCAAACTCCACGTAAGCAATGAATCTTAAAGTTGCAGAACTGATATGCTTATTATTGCATACAGTGAAGGCTCCTAAACCCCAGCACATAGATAAAGCAGATTAAATGAGTTTTAATAAGTTTCACAAAAGCAGTCGTTTGGCAAGGAGTACAATTCAAAACAAGGTAGCGCACCTGCCTAGGTTGGGTTTTTTCTATTGCTTGTAAGTGAATAGCTTATAGGCATGGCACAGGGTGGTTAGTCTGGAAGCACATTCAGCACTAAGACTTCATCTAATCAAGTAAGTCAATCAAATGCACTTTTATTCAGTACTGAAGGAAATTTTTCATTAGAGAATGCAAGCATCCTCTCCAACTAGGAAAATACTCATTTGGGTTGCATTCACTCCATGCTCACTTCATGCCAGAGCTATTAAGAAGTCTATGAAGAAATCGCTAGAGCTCCTTCCCCCCTTTTTTGACAGCATATGAAGACCATCACTTTTAAGAAGCACCCAAAGCAAGCGAATTCCAGGTCATTTCTAACAAGAAGAATTTTAGTTAAGGAAACAAAGCAAAAAAGTAAAGGAACATTTGAAACTATTAAAGCATTGAATGCTTTCATGGCAGAATCAAGAGCACTGTGGACTGATAAGGCCAGTAAGCAAAGCAGTTAAAGATGTATTTTTAAAAGTAGACACAGACTCAGTTTTTTCTCAGTTGAACAGCTGAAAATTAAAAAGGTATGGTTGGCTGCACAAGCCAAGTCACAGAATTCACTTGTTCCTTAGAACAAAGTTGTCAAGCCTGTAACCAAATCCAGCAAACCAGAACACAAACAACATTGCAACTGCCTTGAAGAGTCAGTTGACTAATTTTGTAGAGACAGAAAATATGCAATAGTATCAGAAACATTGAAACAACATGTCTTCATGGCAGGAATATTTGGGGTCTGTTTCAATTTGTTGCATAGATACTAATTTTTAAATTAATCACTAAAGTAATTTTTAAAATGGTTAAATTCTCTTTTTAATTATATGAAATGTCTACTCAAAGAAAGAAAATATTTCAGCATTTGCACAATTACATAGACAATTTATCCACCTCCTTGTCAGATATTATTTCATTCTCTTCTAGTGTTTTTTGCTTTATTCATTTTGTTTAGCATCATTCTTTAGGTCCCTCTTGCCCCTCTACATGTGAGGAGTTTCAACCTCAGTGCAACAGGTAAAGAATTTATGATCTAGAAGTAGTAGTCATCTTCAGGTTTAAAAATATAACCACTTCCAATAAGGGTTTTGACATTTTATCTGAATTGTCACAGCTATTTAATTTCTGGTGGAAGGATTTTATTGTTGTTTTCTCTTTTTTTAAAAAAGCTTGACTTGCACTTAGCCATCTTCATGAACCGCTGTTGTGCCAGCAGGAAATTAACATGCTCTTGCATACAACCACAATGAGCATTAGTCAGGCTATGTCTATTTATTTTATTTTTTTTTTTACAAATTCTTACACAATTTATTAATCTATTTATTTTTCATAGCTTTTTTTAATATGAAAGAAACCTAAGCTCTGTAATTACTTCAGTTTTAGGTAAGAAAGAACAGCTATCACCTCTCAGAAACGCAAAACACAGAATGCAATATTCAAGATTATTTGTGTCTCAGTTTTAAAGCAGGTTTTGAAACTGGTATGTACAAAGTTATGTGCGGCCATCACCTTGAAAAGTGACTTAGGCACTTCAGAAAAAAACTACACCCCATCCCCAGAATAACACTGTTTCTTACTCCCACCAACAGTCTAAAGCAGAGGAAAGAACCCCTTTGTAGCCGATGGATTATTTGAACTCAGTGGCCATTCTGAGAGCCACAGTAATTTTTATTACCCAAAATTTTAATTTTTTCATTCCAGGAAGAAAAAATGTCCATGATAAGTTATTGAAAATTATTTGTTGAAGTCAGTGTAATATTTATTAAAAAAAATAGGGGTGAAGTATATAGATAGGTACAAGTAATAAGAATCAGTTTTCATTTATTACTACTACAAATATATAGCATATTGATAGGTGTATAACATTAACAATATAAACTGCTTAATACAAAGCTCATACCAATAAGACCTATGTATTTTACAACTGTTTGTAAGAAAACATTTGCTAAAACTGTTACGTGACACACGATAATCAGTTGTACAACACAATGCTGTAATCAAATGATACATAACTTTTCCTATATTATTGATTCCATTGAGTTTATTTCAGTATGTAATAGCAACTCTCCCATTTCTCTCCTTCACTGGTTCTCCTTTAGAAGCAAGATCTAACAAGAAATTTCCAAGAAAACATTATGACTGAATAAAGCAACCTATGGTTTACCAATTGTAGCCCAATGAGTTGTCAGTGACATTTTCCAAAGTCTAAATTCCTTATATAAAACAGAATTCCGTGAATACATTCATTTCAAAAAAACCTTAATGCAAATGGAAGTTCAAACCTAAATAAATCCTGCTAGACAACTAAATATTCTCAAGTAATTGTGTCCTGAGCAACTTTGACACCTACAACAACATACACTAAAAAAACCCGCTAATTTTATAGTTTGAGTTTTTCTTTATATTAGAAATACCCCAAACCCCCCACACTCCAGGAACATTTGAAACCTACCAGTTAAGATTTACACTTCATCACCACTCCAAACCAGATGCACATAAGCACTAGAATTAAGCTTCTCTCAGCCTATTACAGTTCCCCAGCACAAAATATTTCCACAAAAGAATTAAGAATTTGCTTGAATAAAGTCTGCTGTCAGAACACCAAAAAAATGCGTCTCAATTTTAAAGGTTCTCTTAAGGATCCTCACAATAATGCACAATACTCAACACTACTTGTGAAGGTTCCTGGTACTGCAAACTGCTCCTCCTCCCCAGATCGAACTGGAACATACAGCTTGCTACCCATATCCTTCTCATTCTCAAATACATATCTAAACACAAAATACAACAATATCTGAACAAATAAGAGTACAGTCTGTAATGAGTTAAGTACAGATTTATCATTCAACCTCTCAAAATTCCACGTTCATTTCATAATTCCATGTGCAGTGCATGTTATACTGGTTGTGTGGGAATGTCTCAAGTTCAAAGTTAATGGCATGCCTTTTTGTTTCTTCGAGAGACAGTATTCAACGTTTCTTCAAGTCTTTCCATGGCTTCTGGGCATGCCTATGTTTTTAGTATCTTGGAAACCTATCCTGTCCCTTTTGGTATAGCTGTGACAAAAGAATAACGCTTATGTTATGTTTTCAGTTACGCTGTTTACAAATGCATGTTTCCAGATTTGCTGTTTGCACATTGCATATACACAAGAACAGCCATCCCCAAAAGTATCAAAACTGAATGTCCAAAGAGAAAATACAAACATACATGATTCAACATTAAAGAATTTAAAAACATTCAGCACTGCACTCCCTTTTCTCTTGGACCACTGGTTTCTTAAAAATGGAAAGAGATGAAGAAAGAACCCAAAGCAATGTGCAGCGCTGGGGGGGCTCACATATTCAAGTGTGAACTTCAAAATCAGATGAAGAAATTTCTTGCTAGTAAAATAGTACTTTCATATTTCATAACACTATCCCTATAAACTCAGGGCAGAATGTACCAAGCAAAAAAACTCAAAGAAAAAAAAAATCCCCAAATTGCATATCCTGCCCCAAAATATTTAAAATTTCAGAGCTATCCTATTATACCATAAATAGGGTGAATAACATTTAAACCTTCCAGCCAGCATTAGCAATGGTTCAGAGCTAAGCGGGCTCTGTAATATTTAAGAGACATCAATTTCAGATTTCTTGATTTGGAATTATTTTTAACCACAACGATGATTATTTCTTGACAGTCTTAAGAATCAATAACAATCAAACCAAGTAAAGAAAATGAAAGCACAAAATTTAAGGTGTGGAAGGGTGAAAGTAACAATAAATTTTGAAATCTATGCTGTACAGTGAAGGAGGTTAGCCATAGCACAGGTACACAGCCAACATATAATCACTCAAAGCATTCTCATAGCAATGTCCAAATCTGTATGCTCTCCACATTTTTGAATGTTTCGATTGCATACAAACAAGCGTTTGTATCTAAAAGAGAACATCATTTAAGCTTGTGTGTCAGGCTTGCTATTAATATACTCGTGATACACACATTAGAAATAAACAGAAATTATTAACCGAAAGTTTAATTTCAATGTTATTTTCATGAATAACAAATAGGTACTGCTATTACAACATCAAAGAAAGCCAGTAATAAAGGTCCATTCTGGCTAGTTTGCCCTCACTGACATTATTTAATTTTTAGAAGTATGCTATTTAAGACTTCTAACAAGAAGTAAAAACATGTTATGAATAACAGGATAAGTTTAAGGAGTGTTATTGTTTATTTAATTTTAAGTTATAGGTAAAGAAGTAATTACCTGCTTGTATTCACCAACGCAGTTCTGACAGCAGAATCTTTTCTGCTGACCATCAACAGTAAGAATATTGTTTCCAGCTCCTTTACTGGGCAAATACTCCCCACAATGCTCACAGCAATTCATTATTAAACCATTTGCCATCCTGTATCTATTGAAGCAATGATCACTGCAGAGCTTATGAGTCATATTTTTAAAGCTAACTTCATGACGAATCTAAAAAATAAAAATAAAGAAGTATTCTATCACCACACAAGCATAAAGTTGCCTGAAACAACTAGACAAGCCAGAAGTCTTACATTCAAGTACAATAACTAAAAAACAGATCATACTAGCTAACTATCCAAGAACAGAGATGCTTGAAATGACCATGAAATACAGAGAGAAATTGGTGTTTCTGTTGTCTCCAGAGTTCTAAAAAAAAAAAGTCTTGTTCTACATTTGTTCTTGTAGTCTAGAAGTAAAGATCACAGAGAAGGATGTAATAATTGCGTATCAGAGCAGAAGGTCAATTTATGCAATTTTATAAAATACTCAATTTGCAGGCTAAAAACATGGCATATGAAGACTGGCCAGATACACATGGTGTGTAAAGTAGCAGTCTGAACTATGGTGAGCCCAGTAATGCCATCAAGAATAAACTAATAAATTAACGAGAATTTAAAATTACATATCTTGTAAACATTTCCAAAAACATTTGCATAATATTTCAACATATACAGTAAAAATAAAGTAAATAGTACAGTAAATCTTGACTTTTTTCAACAGCAGTTCTTCTGCATGGGAGATCTAGGTTATAATTACAAGATTCTACGCCTAATCAAATTGTTGACAGTAGCTACAAGGTATCAGCAAAAGGCACTTCAAGTTTCTGAAGCAAAAATCAAATATTAACCTCTGAATTCTTTCTTCCTTCCTTCAGTCGCTCTTCAGGAATGTTAAGCTTGCATATCTCAATATCTCATTGCATATGAAAATACTGAATCATATTTTAAATCTCCTTATTTTCAGTTATCTTATTTCAGAATGTAAGTTATTAATATTGTCATTATTCAGAAAGATAAGAGAAAAAACAGTCAACCAGACCTCAGTTAGTTTACCACAAATAGTGCATCTTGATTTATTCAAAACTCCTTTCGAGGGATTCTGTTTATCTTCATAGAAGGCTAAACATGACGTACTGCAAAACTCCTGGAAAGACTCACTGGAATCAACTTGAGCAACAATGGTACCTTTCATTGTTGTTATATCTCTGAAAGACAAAAAAAACCCTCTAGCGTGCTTGTGTATATATACATACATGTATGTAAACAAGAACATTTTACATCTTATAAGATTGAGTCTTCCTTTCAATGCTTACATTTCAAATCTGTTCTGTGGGTGTACAGTTAGTCACATGTCAAACATTAAGAAGTTTAATAATATTTTTACAACTACTCTAAGTACTGCAAGTACAATGTTTTTCCTGTGTAAAAACACCTTTTTGTTTGTATTGGGTTTATTTTTTTCCCATTACATTATTCTAGAACTAAGTGACATTAACGCATCATTAGGTACCAGCTGTGGCAAACTCAATCTCATACAAAAAATTAACACAGCAAATTTAAACTAGCTCTTCTGCAACTCTACACAAAAACTATACTGAAGTTTCATATGAAAAATTCAGATTGATAGTGAAAGACAAGAAATGGTCTTTATTTGTAACTCCACCATTTCTGGAATTAACCTCCAGATAGAATGAGGGGAGGAGAGAAGGTTGTTTTCCCACACTTACAAATATAACCAAAAAGCTTAAAACTCTACCACAAACTTGCCTAGTTTTATCATTTAAAAAAAAAATTAATTCCTTCATTGCTTTAAAGTTCCAAAGCACCTGAACAGTTAATGCAGTTGCCCATGAAACCACACCAATTTAATGTGCTAAACCAGACAAGCAATCATCAATAAAATTAATTTGAAATAGAGCAAACCTTCTTCTAAGAAAACTGACCTACATTGTTTTTCACTGAAATTCTAGACTTCTGTGATCTTCGATTGTATGCTGTGCACATTTGCTAAGTTAGCAGTCACTAACACCATGCTTGTCAGTGCACCTTTGTAATCAGGTCTCCCAGACTTCTAAGGTAACTTCTTAGGTGGTTTCACTCTTAATCCTATACTATCACATACCATAAATTAGAAGCAGAAAGGAGAAGAAATAAAAGCCTTCCCCTCTGTCCTCTAAGCAAAAAAAAAAACCAAACAAACCCAACAATTACTGACATACAGGACATACTATTGGGCAGAAAAAATAAAAGAGCTGACTGGGCACATCTGGATCTCCACTGACACCATGATGGATCACCAGCTGGAAAAGACATGCCCCAGACACTCATAACTAGGAGCCCTGAAACTAAGATGAGTGGAAAACAGTGGAAAAATGCTGTATGCTTCCCTAGACAGACTCCCTTCAAAATAAACTTGTATTGCCCCTGGATACTAACACTTGCAAGCCTGCCTTCTTCCATCAAAGGAAAGTCAGCAGATTTTGGCTTACCCTTTCGCAAGCTAGTACGGACTTGTGTTGGGGAGCGTTATCACTTCTGTTCTGCAAAACAAACCCAGAGCTCCTGCCCAGAGGAGCTTACAGTTTCTGGCTGGATTCCACCAGGACTTACACACACTATTAACTTGTATCAAAGGAACCAAGTGTGAAGTCAAAAAAGTGTAACACAAGTCAATAAAAATTAACTAAGGAGAATATCAGATATTTCCTATACATTCCTTCTTATAATAATTCCTATGCTATTTATGTAGTTACAGAGGTTCAGAAGAGTGCTAGAAAAGTGGTTTACGATAAAAATTCGTAAGAATTCTGACTCTTCAGATGCAGTTATACAATTTTTTTTAAAAAGGTTATTGTAGGCTTCACTTTTTCCACTTAAAGTAATCCACACATTTAAAGATAAATCTGAGCATTACCTCTGAAAGGCTGACCGATAACGTATCAACTATTATCATCTATCCAACTTACATACAAAATCTTCGTTATTTTGCCAGAGTTTCCTTATCCTTTTACTGAACTGCAATCTGACAATAGTCTGTTTTAGGAGGAAAAGAACACTGAAGCAAGTACAGAGCAAAGAGTACCTTGCTACGACCATGTACCAAAAATTCGGCAATGAGGCAAAAAAAAGGCTGGATAAGATTGGGTTTCACAGCAAAGCCATGCTACAGAGGAACAATTTCATGCATATACTGCCTACTATTTAACTGTGATTGTGTAAGCAACTGCCTACTAGTAGAAGAGCAAAGACAAACTTCACCTCAAAAATTGTCAAAGGTGACTTCACAGAGGTTCTCTGGAAATCAAATACACTAAACAAACTATTTTAAGTAATCCCAAAAGCTAGAAATAATGTATTTTCCTCATCATTCAAAAATAAAGCTTTTTCATTTAGGGCAGTTTTGTGTGCAGCCTCTTACAATACATAGGTAAGTATCTCCAAAGTTGCAAGTGAGCACAGATTTAGCCATGAGTTTTCAAGATTTCAGTCAGAAATAAAAAGATTAGTCTAATCTGCATCTTTATATATAATACAGCTAGCTGAATATGATAGTAACCAGATTACTTCTAAAGAAAGTGTATAAACATGTACAAGCCAACAAATAGAGTACAGAGTGCTTTTACCTAACTCTGTAGAGGCGAAGGTTGAGAGAATTTTTTAAAAAGCTAAAATATGTTAAATCTGCAAGGTTTTCAGTGTATCAAGGTACCAATACACACAGGTTATCAATATTTTCTACATAGTTTTACTGAGTCTGAAGGAAAAAAAAAAGATTCAGATCAGTAGCTTACATCTGAATACATTAATCCACTACACTGCATACTGAAGTATAACTTTTTCAGTAGTTTAAAACTGTGATTGAGCAAAGATCACCCACTGCAAAACATACAATAACAAAGGCAGTCTTTACTGCAAGTCTTCTTTAGTTCAGCAAGAATTCATCATTTAACTAGTGTCGCTCCAGGATGCACTGAATTGAGACTTTACTGGAAAAAAATACGAAAAAGTGCAAGTATCTCAGTAAGCAGTACACTGAAAGAAAAAGATAGTACTGCTATTTTGTACACCTAATACTACAATAGTACAATTACGGAAGATTTCTCTTTGATAATTTTAAGTTTGGGAAATAATGAAAATTACAACTCAAACCTAAGCAATAATTTAGAATAAGCCACTTCTAGGTATGCCTGTCACTCCCTGTACTGCCCACTTACGGCATCTTCAAAAGTTGCCATAGTTGCCCCTAACTATGGGGAAAGTCTAAGGCTTCTCTCCCCTGCTTCTTGCAAGTATCAGTTTCTCTTCCCTTCTAAAGCCTCTAGATTTTATATCTTCATCTATCAAAAGGAATGCCTTCTGTACAATATAAGGTCCATTTTTTTCATAAAGGTCTTTAGCTATAAAGACTATATCTTGTACAGGATATAACATTGTAACTCAAACACCTTGTCTTTAAAAAAATTAGTAATTTTTAATGTATTGGCTTTCATAGAAACAATCTACCATACTCTGAATTCAAAAGCTGGTAGGCTTTTTGTTTTGCTATAGCAGAAACAGCAAGTTCAACATTTCCAAACAACATTAAAGTGACACTACATAAAGTACTGGTTTATAGTCAGATTTTATATCATTAATGGAGCAATTCTCATACATGCATAAGAATCTCAAGTATTACTGGATTTAGCTGCTAATATGAAATCAAATTCAAAAATCCCTTACTTTCTGCACATAACACAAAGTTTCTTTGGAGTGGGTTTGTGTGAGAATGATGAGAGGCAGGTAGTAGAACAAAAAAGGTGAGCTGATCCTTTTCGCTGATAGGCAGTCTGTCCCTTTTGTAAAGGCTTTTTGCAGTTTGCACATGTGACTTTAACCTGTTTAGGAGGCTGCTGCTGGGCAGAAGGCTGGAAAATCTGTTTAGGAAGCGATGCTACTGGTGACAAGGAATCCACACCTGATTGCTTCTGATTCCTAGGGAAGGAAGCTGACTGGGATATCCAAGAATCTTCAAGACAAAAAAAAAACAAAAACAAAACCAAAACAACGAAATATAAACCCAAGTGAACAGACATGTACATATACACAGAATAATATTCATAGGCATATGATCATAAAAAATAATTTTTCTGTTGGAACTGACAATTAACAGAAGATAGATCCTATTTTAGAAATTCAGGTTGAAAGTAAAATGTTGTTTGATAGTACCACTCTCCACTATTAGAAAGCTTCAAAACATGAACAAATTTCAGGATGGTCCCTTCCTATACCTAGTGACTAGTTTTGCAGACCTCAATTCACTTACACTGGGTTTGCAAACTGGCAATTTTATCTTCAGAGAAACAAAACTGCAATTACCAACTGCAATTAAAAAAACCAAACCAACAGAGAACATGGAACTTCTAAACTAAGGTTTGAGATATAAAATCTACAAATGTGAAAGAACATGAAATCTCAGATTTTCATTAGTTATTTTGTTGTAAAACTTTAACAAGCATCTGTAAAAGTTCACATGTCCGGCCTCATTGATAAACCCTAGAACTGGGGTTCCCCACACTGATTTCCTAGACTAGCCTGCAGCCAGAGAACTATACTGCAGTTAAAGCGAAGCACAGTGTGTCCACAGCTGGGATTTGCATCTCCTGAAAGAATTCCTGGTTTTCTCAATAACCTTTTCAATGCAATGAATACCACTTAATGTGCAAACTGGCAAAGTCATGAGAGTTCCAAGTCTTCCTCAGTAGAAATCAATGAACCTAGAAAATAATATTTCATTAAGTTCTGGCAGTACACAAATCCATGTCCCTGTGTTCCAGACTCCACTAGAACTCCATCTGTAGTTTTGGACAACAAACTACTATTGAACTAAGTCATCTTTTCCCAATCTTTTGTAGCATAACATGCTACAGAGTAACTTGCATAACAAGAACTTAAGTAAAACTTTTTCTCTAACAGAAATACATCTAGAGAGATCACATACTTCTGTTAAATTACACACTGGGTATGTTGGTTTGGAGCAGAATATACAGTTCTGGGGGGAAAAAAATCCCCCAATAAAACACAATTTCTAGGCTTTTCTCTAGAATTTAAGCTTTCATTTTAAATAATTACCACCAGAATTTAGGAACGTTGAGCTTCTGAAGAATGCCAAGAATGATACATTACTTAAGCATGAATTAAAACCTGAACAGAAACTTCTTTCCATTATGAAAAACATTTATACACATTTTCAATAGTGTGTGTCAGCTATTTCAAATAGTGTCACAGCACTTGGGACTTACCTTTCAAGCTTTTTATTCCCAGTGTCTAGAATAGTACTTCACTGTTACCTACTGAATAGTAAACACCTGCATAAATATTACTGTAGTTGGTAGTACTTGTGCTACTACTTTTAAGTAAAGAGTAAACACAGAACTGACTGTAACTAAATAAGAATGCTAAAGCCTTGTATGTCTTATTGCAGTAACTCAGTGTATTCCTGGAGATGATTTTAAATTCTGTAACTTCAGATAAAAAAACCTTAACCTATAGACTTCAGCAACTGCCCATACCTTATTCGTACAGGACATTATCTTGGTCCATAATCATTCATTACACAGAAGGCACCCTTTCCTCATACTATTTTCCTAAGTCTTCTCTTGCCCCAAGAGGGTTTTATTAACATATTCTGCTGCACAGTTTTAAAAATAATTTTAGGGACAAAGTTCCAAGAACACTTATTACAGCAACAAACAATGTACACTCCTTAGCAAGTAGAAGACCATTTTTCCAGTGTGACTTTGTAACCATCAAGGATGTCCTATTTCTCAGGCATGTAAGACAAGTTGGAAATTTACCCATTGCAATGCTTGGGGGTAAACAGAAGAGTTGGAACAGAGGTGTGAGGGGAAGAGGGAAAGGAAGCAGAACAAAACACATTCCTCTTTAAACCATTGAAGAGGTTTACCTTTGAAGGCATGATTATCCATACTGACAAACTAAGATGTTACCACAGTGCCTGAAGTTCAAATTCACTTGAGTGCCCTCTTCAAACTTTTCTATACTATTATGTCTACTACCTCAGATATACTTATACTCTGGTAGCACCTTAACATCTCAAAATATTTTGATATTCTCCTCTTTTCTCACAGGTTTCAAGTGGGAGCACATTGTATCTCTTACCAGGAATACATAGCACGTGCACTGAAGTTACACATGCTTGTAATTCCAGTAGTGCTCAACTGCCACCTCAGGAAAACTTGAGTTTACTAGGCTTATTTGGGTTTGAAACTTTTGCCATGACTGCCTAGTACCTCATTAAGATTATTTCAGTATTTCTTTAGTATCTTAAGGCTTCAGACAGCCTCCCTTAATTGACATTTCGTTGCATTTCTCCTTCCACAACCATAGCATAAGAACACCTAAAGATCTTTTTGCCTTTCCTTTTTTTGCTTTCACTCCTTCCACATCACACCTTCATAGACATTAATTTTTATATTGTGACTTTTCTTCACATCTTACTTTTTAACCACATTACCTCCTTCACTTTATATTCTCTACAAAGGATCTGCAAAATCTCTTTTTCATGTCCTTGAACTGAGAAGGTGTATCACAACTTGGGGCAGAGGTGAGGAAGAAGACAGTAATAAAGTTTTACAGAAGTATACAGCTCTTGAAACATATTCAGCTACATCTCCACTAGCGACCTGGTTCAGGATCAGGCCATTCTGAACTGCACTCTCAATTTACTAGGTGTTGGTTCTGGTTTCGGAGCAGATTTGATGCACAAAAACTAGATTCCATTCAGAGAAACAAAATCTAAGTTCCAGTCCAAAAGTACCTGAAACTCATCTACCCGGACTTCGGTTCATCTACCTGGACTTCTCAAAGACCTTTGATATGGTCCCCCACAACATTCTTGCTGGTTAATTGGAGACATATGGATTTGATGGATAAGGAATTGGCTAGATGGTTGCATCCAAAAGATTACAGTTAATGGCTCAACGTCCAAGCGGAAACCAGTAACAAACGATGTCCCTAAAGGGACCGTACTGGGACTGATACTCTTCAGTATCTTCACCAGCAACAGTGGGATTAAGTGCATCCTCAGCAAGTTTACAGATAACACCAGGATGAGTGGCGCAGTTGATAAGCTAGAGGGAAGCAATGCCATCCAGCAGGACCTTGATAGGCTTGAGGAATGGGCCCACGTGAACCTCATGAAGCTCAACAAGGCTAAGTGCAAGGTCTTCCACCTGGGTGAGGGCAATCCTGAATATCAATACAAACTGGGGGATGAATGGATTGAGAGCAGCCCTGAGGAGAAGGACTTAGGGACATTGGTAGATGAAAAATTGGGCATGAGCTGGCAATGTGTGCTTGAAGCCCAGAAAGCCAACTGTATCCTGGGCTGCATCAAAAGAAGCGCAGCAAGCAGGTCAAGGAAGACAATCTTCTTCCTCTACTCCACTCTGGTGAGAACTCACCTGAGGTTAGATTTAGACTGGACATAAGGAGTAAGGTTCCGTACAATGAAGGTGGTGAGGCACTAGAACAGGTTGCCCAGAGAAGCTGTGGATGCCCCCTCCCTGGAAGTGTTCAAGGCCAGGCTGGATGGGGCTTTGGGCAACCTGGTCTACTGGAAGGTGTCCCTGCCCATGGCAGGGGGATTGGAACTAGAGGAACTTCGAGGTCCCTTCCAACCCAAACCATTCTATCAAATGTATGCCAATGCTTACTGAGGACATTAGGTTCTGAATTAATGTGTTGGACAGAAGTTCCTCTGTTATGCACCTACTGCTTCCCATACAGTGGGTGCACTTAGCCAAGGAGGATAGACTAATACAGCTCCAGCAGAAATCTTCCATAGAATCATTTAGGTTGTACAAGACCTTTAAGATTATTAAGTCCAACAATAAACCTAACATTGCCAAGTCCATCACTAAGCCACATCCCTCCCTAAGCACATCTACACATCTTTTAAATACCTCCAAGGATGGTGAGTCAACCACTTTCCTGGGCAGCCTGTGCCAACCCTTGACAATCCTTTCAGTGAAGAAAGTTTTCCTAACATCCCATCTAAACCTCCCTGGTGCAACTTGAGTCTTGTAGTGAGGGGCCCAAAACTGAACACGGTACTCAAGGTGCAGCCTCACCAGTACCGAGCACAATCACTTCCCTAGTCCTGCTGGCCACACTATTTCTGATACAAATACATATAATGTATTTGCCAGAGCCTTGCTATCAACGATTTTGATCTACTGTTTTTCTAACAACATATAGATGTTACACATCCTGATTCTTTTGTCACTAAGGAAAAAAAAGAAGCATCAGGAACCAATACATGTTTGCATCTTCAAGGCTTCAAATCCTCTATATAAGAAGCAAATATGAAAAATACATCTTTTCCAAGATGCAAGCTAGAATGTCTTTAGGTAACGGACTAGTTCCAAAATTTGCAAAACTGCTCTGTAAGTTGATGTACTAAGTCCTTAAGCAAAGCTTTGACATTCAACAAATGCTAGCTAGCATATCCCTAAAGAAAGTTGTGGTATCTGAAAACAAAGTTTGCCATCCAACTTCTTGCATCCTATTTCTGAACTATAAGCAGCACTTTTCCATCCATGATCTTCAAATTATATAAATCAAAGCATTTTTATCATCACTATGCTTAAATTAACTAAGCAAGAGTCTCCACCTCCATTGGAAATATTTTCAAAATCTGGAAATGAGAACAGATGGAACACCACTGATCCAGAACAGAATAACCTATCCTTAGCAATCTTAGACTGGAATTGTGTAGAATATATTAAACATTTAAGAACAAATGCTTCCTGTCATATTATCAAAGCTTCTAACAGGCAGGGTTAACTTCTACCAACAAGATTTTCTAGAAGAAAAGGAGGTACCTTCCAGAGAAAAAGAACAAAATTGAAACTTCTATCTTGAAAATCTTTCCCTTACATCTTTGTAAGTATAGTAACCTGTAAATGATCCGTACCTATTGTGTTTCAGTTTTTCTCTTGTGTAAAAGCCATTTCCACTATAGCTGGAAATACCCTCTTTCCTCCTCTTGTTTCTTATTCTCACATTCTTGGTCATTTTTCTAATTCCTCTCATTTGGTATTTTTCTCCTTCCCTTTTACCTGTGGCAGCCCTTCCTGCTTCCTTTTGAACCTGCTGCTCTTTATTTTTCACAAAGACCACAGCCATAATAAAATCCTCACGACGATGAAATACATCTCTCATATCCACCTGTAAACTTATCTTTTCCTCCCTTCTGAGCGAGTCTTTTTCATCAAGTCCATAAAAGCACTCCCAGCCACTATTCCTGTCTCTGAACTCAATCTATTTCAATGCTGCTATGATCTCAGCCTATTAGACTTCATACCAGCAAAATTCTGGTGTTTGTCTGCTAATCACATCAGAAAATAAAAGTTCAGTAGTTTAAGGGAAAGCACATGCTGATTTTCTTAAGAAAAACGAAGGCACTATTTTAAGGAAAAGCTTTAAGTTCTCATCCATGAATACTTGACCATCTATGATAAACAAGGTATATGATTATTGTGTTAAGGGATCAACTAGCAGTAGCGAGAATATTGGTTTTAACAGATTAGTATCTGAATTTCTAAATTATTCATTGAGACACCCAGACTATAAAAACTTCCCAGCTTTCAACTTCAGAAGTCAAATTTTGAAATCAGTTTCATGACTAACACAAAACCCCCACAACCTAACATCCAACTCACAAAGCTAAGCTTCATATTGCCATTTCCATAATACAATATGAAAGGTATTAATACTTGCGCAAAAATACATTTGGTAATAATATGACCAAATTGAAGAAGTGTGCTATTTAAATGTTTGTTGAAAAATAGGTTAAAAAAAATTCCATGTTTTAATCAGCATATGAGAAAGTTAAGAAATAGTGCATCAACAAGGGTCTACTGCACCTAGATTCTAACAGATTTAAATTTTCCTTTTAAAATGGCCCTAACAGTCTGAAGTTAAACCTACAGCAAAAGTAGTAATTTGACCTTTTCTTCCACTTCTAGCCTAACAGAGCAGCAGAGTACCAGTATATGTTGAACTTGGAACATTTTAAATGCCTTATGTGAAAACTTAAATTCTGTAGAATAGCAATTCCATTCATGGCTGCTCCATTTGGCTTTTAGCAATACCTGTTTACTTGCTAAATCAGGAGACAATGTACTGCTATTTACACAGCGATATAGAACAAAACCAGCCAATTCAAACAAATTAGTATCGTACTATATAAATATGTATTATCACAGGCAACTAAACAGCAATTCTAAAGTGTGTATAACTTACTGCAGGAATATGTGAGTCCACAACTTGGCCCCCATTTTGTTAAGCATTGTCAATACCAAGAATTGCTCGATATGCAATGAATTATGAAAGCTAGCTACTTACAACTTAAGATCAGACTTTCAAATTCAGGTTTTTTGCATGTCAAATTATATTCAGATGGCAAGACAACAGATCAGTAAAATAATACTTAAATAACTTTGCTGCATTATACTAGTCATAGAACTCCACAAAAAGGTACAAAAGTTACATAGATACCCTAACCTTTGTGTCAATTAAAGAGGTACACTTAACTCATTAAAAAAACCTTTGCTTTAGATACAAATACTTGTGTCTCAGAACATCTGAAGGTTATCACTAACTTCTAAACTGGGGTAGTATACCTACCTAACACATTAATGTCATTGAACATATTTTATTCTAGAGTCACAGATAAGGCTGTGATGGGGATGAAGGGAAGCAAGATCTTCCACACAAATTGAACTAAAAAACTAAGTAGTGACACTGCCAAAAATATTTTAATCAAACATTCTATTATTTATTTTCAGCTTTTAAAGAAGTGTTCAGAATTGCAACTTACCAGGATTATGATGAGTCACGGATTCTCCATTTTGAAATACATCTCCAGCCACATTCATTCTACCAGGATTGAAAGGTCCTACACCAGGCTTACTCTGTTGAGTCAAAGATGGGGTGTATGTTTGCATATTAACACCAAAATTACTTGACTGTAGTCCATTAGATACATCTCCCAAGTTGGCATTCTGCAGTGATGTTACATGTGTAATCATTAAGTTCATGTCACGCCCTTCAGCATTTTCTAAATGACCATCACTCACAGAGCTCATAGCACCTGTTTCTAATGTAGTAACATTAGCAATCTGAATTTCAGAGTCTGGTTCTGTGGTTATACAACTATTACCTATTCCTGAATTTACCTTACTTCTTGAAAAACCGGAAGCTGAGAATTCCATATTGTTGGTTCTGTTTTTACACTCTGGAAGTCTTCGCTCATTAAAACTGGAAGCATTCTTCTCTTGTCCTTGATTTGTTTCAATGTCTTCTTCATCATCAATAATAATAGTTTCACTTATACTCCCCTTTTGAGAATTTAAGTCTTTTGGAGGAGGAAGCATTTTGCAATCGTTCCCTTGAAGTTCTTCATTTTTTGATGATGTAAATGCAGTGTTCCTTTGATCTGCTATCAGTGATGCAGAATTTTGTGGAGGTTGTACAGGTTCGATAAAAACTACATCATCGTCATCTTCTATAGGTGAGTTTTGGAATTTATTAGGTCTGGAAACTAAAGAACTTGGTGGACCTCCAAATGTATTTCCTACGTTTGCAAGACCTGCTGCCATGGTGGTATTCCTGAGTAGACCAGGTCTATGTTCAGACAGTTCTAATCCTCCCAGAGGACTTGTGTCCATTCCAGATCTGCTGTTTAAAGGAAAACATAAAGCAAGAAAAAAAAAACAACACCCAACTTCAGAGTAAGATATAACTTTCCAATAAGAGTTCTTAAAAATAACTACAGAATTAATAGTTCCAGCTTTTACTTTTTCTTCCTGAGATCACATAAAGAAAAAACAAAGTTTCTCTATGCCGTCTTTGAACATTTTAACATTCATTTACTTTCTAATCCTATACTAGCAAAAAAATACTGCCATTCCCCACACAATAGCTACACATCATTATGTTTAGCAATACGTACAAAATAGAATTTTTGATGGTATTTATTACATAATCCTGATTTCTCAGTCCCTTTCCCACCCACATATGCACACAGTGATCCTGTAACACTGCTTTTACTAGACTGCAAAGCAAGATCAAAACTTAGACATGCAGAAAGAAAATGTGAATTCCTATTAAATTTCATTCCTCTTAGAAATGTTACAGAGCTTTTATATCAATACATTTATACCATAAAAGACTGAAGTGCATATCCAAGTGCCTAGCGCGCAAAAAAAAAAAAGGCAACATCATTTTGCTTATTAACAACTTTGAAATTTGACTTATTTTCCCCCAACCCCACATTGCCAAAACTCCTTAGGCAGCCCCAATATAACTGGAACACAGAAGCAAGCAAGCGAGATATGGAACTGCTGCACATGACAAGAACAGATACATATTGAGCAGTGGAAGGTGCACAGCAACCTCTTACTTCTAGCCATTACCAGAAGCAGCTCATTTGAGGTCCTGACTTAAAACTACCTTATGTGCCATTTCAGCTTTCAACAACTTTATCTCTTAATAGCAAGCAATGCTTCTCCAGGCACCTTCCCAACAGCTACTTTGCCTGGGGGTTTCTGTTTGCTTTTAGTAATTGTTCAGTTTGGGGAATATGTTGTTTATAACTGTCAGTTCTACCATGAATTAAAAAATATATATATATGAAAGGCAACCTGGATATACAATTTCTGTATCTGTAATTCCAAACCAGTATATAATCAGTGCTAAAAGGACCTACGGTCTCTCTAAAAAACACCTGTACTAAAAACCAGTAAGTTAAATTGATCTCGATATACGCAAGAATACAGTCAGAATTACATGATATTTTGGGTATGTCTTAAGAGTATATACTAATGTGTGACATCACTAAGCTTTTGTGAAAGGCTAGAAGTAGCTTTCTGCGCTTTTTTATAAATCCTTTATAAAGGAAGGTAAATAGAGGAAATAGAAATATCCTGCACATCAATACTTACCCATCCAGAAATCCACTGCAATCTGTTTACCTTAATAAGTTGCTCCAAGAACTTTTATTTTCTTTCCTGTGGGGAACCTGCTCTTCTTGTATCAACTTGCTGCCCTCCACAAAAGCAGTGTGTTCTGAAACAGGATTAAACCAAACATTAGTTACCCAGAACAGTTTCTTCATCTCAAACCTCTTCTACCAACTATATTCATTACATTGACTTCCTTCTAAATTTGCAGTTTAAATTCAAACCTGACTTCTAGCACTATCATCCTACAATGTTAGAGAGATTGTCAGTCTATGCAATCATTGCCATGAGTAAAGCAGCAACAGTACTTTTCTAGATTTTCCACTCTGTCACATCACATTTCCAGAATCCTCTGTTTGATGCTTTATAGATAGATGGAAAAAATACAAAGTTTGGTAAGACACAGGCAGACATAACTGCAATTAAGTAATCAAACACTAGAATTAAGAAGTGTATCTGTAATAGAATATTAAGGAAATAAATGGTTCAAGTAAACTGAGCTATCAAGAAAAGAAACCTTAGTGCGAAAAGAAACCTTAGCAGTTTTATTTCTTTGCTTATCATGTCAACCTTGATGCTTGTAGCAGAATATACTATGTTAAAATTAAGATATAGCAAAAGGAAAATTATGTAACGTACATATAAATCAGTCTTACAATACAGTATAACCCTTACATTGCTAATAATTTTCAAATTGTATATATGAACATACATTTAAGTGATACTTAGCACAGGCTCAGATATCCATAGCTTATATTAACACATGTGATCATTCACAGGAGACTGAAATGCTCAAAGTTCAAGCCTATATTTATTCTTCAGGTTTTATAACAGTCGTTAGGTTTCCCAGACTTGGCAGCATTTTTAAAATAGAGAGTATCAACTTGTGTAGTTATCTACTGTTTGAGGACAGCCCTTAAAATCCCCAGACGGTAAAGAGGCCCAGAGGGATAAAGCTCAAATATTCTTCTACACATTTACAACATTATTCACGCCCTCTTGTCCATTAACTGAGCAGGAGCAAGGGAAGGGAAGTGGGACCAAACAGCAAAGCTGTGAACCAGATTAATCCTAGAAGAGAGGCGACCACCTTTTAATTCCTTCATATGTTAGCCCTACAGCCAAATGCCATTATGTAATAGCGTTTGAACCACAATAAAGGTAACATTCAATTGGAATGAAAGAGGTTTTCTTACAACAACAACAAAAAAACCTATCAATGCAGTTGGCTTGTACCTCCCTAGAAATCAGTCGGTTACACTGAAGATTAATTTAATCCAATATTCTCTTTTACCTATCTTATTTTTTCCTCCAGGGCTGAATAATTCAAAGTTAGATTCCCCTACATCTCAGCTTTTGCTGAAAAGAATTAATTCAGTTCACTGATTCTTAAAGTTTCCCAGATTTATTCCATGTATGTTCTTTCTCTACAAGGACAAAAGCATCACAAGCACATAAAGCTTTTAATGAAGTTTTAAATATACCTGAACAGATGGGAGTAAAGAAGAAACGAGAATATGCCAAGACTATACCTCAGGCCTGACTCAAACCCTTGCTATTCCTATTTTTACAGATCCTTAGTAGAAAGACAGACTTGGGCTGTATTACAGTACATGCACATAATATGTAGCAAAGGCAAGACCCAAAATATCTATCTTTTTGCCTAAATATATTTATTTTTTCCACAAAGGCTCTTAAAAAGGTTTTAATGACCTGTATTATTAAGTCTGACAAAAATAAAAGCTTATGTGATTAACTGTTAGTGCATGGTCATAAGCAAAATCTGCATATATTTCCTCACAAGTATCAGCTCCTACCTCTGCAAGATTCAGCAACAAAACTACCCTCAAAAATCAGATTTTTTTTCCGCCCTAGAAATTGCAAAATTAGGTAGCTTGTTTTCTAAAAATGCTAGCACCAAGGAGAAACACAAAAACTACATAGACAATGTCACAGACAGTATTTCTAAATTATCAGCTACCAAAAAAGGAATTATCTACAGAGTGAAGAGAATAGGTTTAGAACAGGAAACTAGGAAAAACCTCACACCTCACAACTGGTAACAGTGAAAGATGCTTAACAATAGAAATACAATTGCTAGAAACCTGTAAGATTGAGTAGGCTGATCACTGGATGAATTCTTGAGACTTTGAACAAACCCAACAAAACACAAACTGGTGAGACCTACTCTGCAGAAAAGATATGTTCGATACTGCTGCAGAATGAGCTCAAGGCTTTGTGGTAGCACATAGGCACCAAAATTAGAGCTGGATGGAAACAGAGCCACTACCAATATCCAACAGCCCTTCTTGAACTAGGCTTTTTATGTATTCCTTTTAAATTAGGGTACATCACTCATGTAAAAGTATTCATGCTGAAATAAATTATAATCCCATAGCTACATTCAAGGCTTAATTGCTGGAAGAAATAGAAGGCAAAATGCAGGCCCTTCTCTTGAAGGATGGCAAAATACTACAGCCAGCTAGGTAACGCTCCATGGGCCAAGTCTTAACTCCATTGTTGAATGATAAAATAGAATTGTAAATTTATCATGAATTGAAGAAATCGAGGTGGGGTATGTGTCTAGCAAAAAAAAAAAATCAACTACACTTTAACAAAAGCAGAAACTGCAATTTACAATCCATTACTAAGTGTCATTAATAACACCTGGGATGAAGGTGACAGAAGAGCACAGTCACAATACACTTGGAACAAAGTCAAAAATCAAAAGAAGTCACTGAAACCCAGCCAAAACTATAGTTCTACCAACACAGGGCACTTGAAACAGACACCTGAAGTAAGACCAGCCTGTGCAAGTGCTTCCATATAAAGCCTAGAAGCCTACAAAATAAAAAAGGAAAACTTGAAAGACTGCTTTTGAGAGAATACGTAACTGAGACATCTTCAAAAGTCAATGGATGAACAAAATTCAGGAGACCGTATTATACTATGGTACTAACATAGGCATAAGAAGAAAGTGATTGATTTGCCCCAGTGAAAGAATACTACTTTCTGCCAGGAAAGCACAATATCCTAACTAAATAATTTACCGCAACAGGTACTGTGCTGCATTTAAATTCCATATCCAAACTAGAAGACACAATGCATTAATGGTATACTATGAATCACTTCCACGCAACAGTGACAGCACGTGTGAGATAAGGGGAACAAGAGACTCTGCAAAGTAATCACTGACAACTTCAACTACTGATGTGCAGACTGGGGGAAGAGGGCAGACAAAAACCAAAACACAATAAACCCACCACACAAAAAAAACCAACAACGCGCCACTGAATGATGGAGACAAATTCTTACAACATAGCCAACTGCAACCAGTTAGAACACTAACAGAAGGAAAAACAACTCCTGATCTAATTCTGAGCTGCGCAACATAGTTCAAGAGGTAATTATTGACAGCACTCCAGAAAAAGCATATCTAAACTCTCAGGGGAATAAAAAAAAAAAGTTTAAAAAAATTCATTACTGCAATATTTGACATCAAAAAGGAGAAAATCCTAAGTGTGAGGAACCCAGTTAAAGGGAAACTAAATGGAGCAGCTAGAACAAAAAGCTTCTTGAGAACATGAAGGCTATTTAAAAACTCACCATATTAAGTACACAACCAATCTAAAAAGACCCAAAAAACCCCATAAAGACCTCCACCAGGAAGTCTCTGAGCTACAAAGATGCTGGAATTGCACTAGGGG